TCTGGCTCCTCAGGGGGATATTCAGTATGAACGGGAATATGTCATCTGCAATCTTACGGGAGCTGCAGGTGGGAGATCTGTCCACTTCCACTGCCAAGGACAACATCCGCTGGAGCAGGAGCATCGCCCTGGGTGAGAGGGGACAGTCAGCACAGGGGGACTCTGCCCCTCAGCTTGCCAAGCAAGCCTTGGGGTGGTCCCTGCTTCAACCTCATGCGGTGAGGGGTATGGGAATGCAGTGGGCCAGGTTTGATGTCTCCTAGTGGCTTCTGAATCTGATGATTTTGCAAGCAAAGCTCATCCCCAGACTGACCCTCAGGAGGTCTTGGTGGCTCTCCTGAGTGCTGGAGCAGCATGGGGCTGCTTGAGCTGTGGGCCACAAGCTCCAGCCTTACACTACATGCAAGAGGATGACACTGAGCCAGTTTCCTACCAGGTGAGAGTCTTTTGCTCACCAAGCCTTTAACCCAAAGAACCAGCAAAGCTGGTCACAGGTGCAGCCTGGCTTCCCTGAACTGACAGCGAGAGTGCCTCTGACTTCTGCCTGATGTTGGGTCCATGATAATGCCAGCAGTGAGTTTGGAATTCTGGGGCTTACTTTTGGGCAAAGAAGGCTGTCTGGGCCTGGTTTGTCCGAGTGCTGGCCAGCCTTGGTGAAGATAAGCTGTGTTCAGCCCTGGCTTCTTGCAGCTGTTCCTGGGGCTGGGAGACCCCAACTCCTGTAATTGTTGCCACCAACCACTCAACCACTTCCCTGGAACAGAAAGAAGAATTTTATTTGGGATGTGCCTCATTTTGCTGTGTTCTGACCTTTATATCCACTTAGAGCTTGAGGAAAGGCCGTGAAAATGAAGAGTATGTTCCACCCACTTAGACAGGTTAGGGGGTAGCTCTGTTGAACAACTCAACAGAGGAACCCTCTTGATTTGTACACTTGCCTACAGGATTGCCTCCTTCTTAGTCCTGTCCTGAGCAATGCAAATCTGACCTCATCTCTGGGAAAAGCCCATTCTGTTGTAACTAGTGGTTTGCTTTTGTAAATATTTTCCTGGTCCCTATAGCTGGCCCTATGCTTCCCTTTGTCTCCCAAGTCTGCTTCTTGGAAAGTCTGACTGGACTCTTGACAAGTGTTCCCTAAGCCCCTGCCTCTCAGCTTCTGGTTAGAGAACAAAAAGGAGGTGTCCCTTACTTGACATTGTTGAAGCACAAGTCACATGAAAGCATTTTCTTGGCAATTGTCTTCTGCAGCTGGTGTGACTTCAGATTGTGGTGGAAGTCATCCTCCAGGGTCTGTACCACATACTGCAGGAAGAGGAGCCAGCCAGGGGGTTTCTTCTGGGGGCAGATGGAGAGCACGTGAGTCTGGTGGGGCCACAGGCTTAGGAACACTGGGGAAGCTGGCTGTCTTGAGAGTGTACTGGTGTACATACTGAGGAGTAGTTGTAGGAGGAGCTGTGTGGCTCAGGCAAGACTCTGAAGGGCATTGCACTAGTGCTGTGACCCAGAGAGGGTTTATCTGTGCCTTCTTCAGTGGGACAACCTGCCTAAAACTGTGCAGAGGGTTAAGGGAGTGCTGTGGATAAATGTGGGATTCCCAGCTGGCACTTGCTGTTGGACTGGCCAGCTCTGCAGCAGAGCACAGCCACAGGAAGCACTTAGGAACATTCACCCTTGGGCAGCATGTGCTGTGTGATCCCTGCCCCATGTGACACACAAGGTGCCAAGTACCTGGTGCTCCATGATGAATTTCACCCGTGTCCAGTCCCATCCCACCGTGGTGATGTTGGCTGGATGGAGCCTGCAAGAACAGCAGTGTCCATTTGTGCTGAACTGCCTGACCATCTGCTTGGAGGCACAGCAGCCTGTTAGCCCTTTCCCAGCCCTTAGCCCTTCCCTAGCCACGCCCAGCTCCACTTGCTCAGCTGCCTTCCCTGCCTTCGCCTCTCCATCTTTGCCCTCACCCCTTCTCCTCCCCACAATACATTAATTTTTTGGAAGCACCTGACAGGGGCTATAGTTCATGAAGATGTCCAAAACTCCTAGGCCTGTGGCCTCATAAAACATTGTACCTCTCTGTGGGAAGCCCAAGGGAACTGAGGGAGCTGCTCCAGCCACTGCTGGTACTGTTGTAGCCCAGGGAAGGCACTTCTACCATGTCACAGCAGTGAAGAATGAGATCTGTGCTTCAGGGCAAGGCAAACACATTCTTCTATACCCAAGGGCTCCCTTGTGTCACAACGTGTCCCTGACCCACCCTCAGAGAGCCTAGGGTGTGCCTGTGTTGGCAGGAGGATTATCCTGGGTTATAGGAAATCACTCCCCGTTCTGTGGGTGAACACCACAGAGAATAACCCTTATGCTGAGCAGACCCCTGGGAACAGCTAGCCAGCCCCAGGGGGACACAAGGGGAACACATACATTTGGATCTTCATCAGCAGTGTGTAGATGTCATTCAGGATCTCCCCTTTGTAGGTGTCCAACAGCATCTGTTTGATCAGGTGGCAGATGATTTCTCTGGGGGGACAGTGCTGGCAGGAGACAAACTCATTCAGGAAAAATAAAGTGTCCTCCAGGCTGTTCTCCTCCATGGTGATGTGCACCATGTTCAGCTTCCTGCTGGGGATGAGCCCAGGTTTCTGCTGTGAACAAGGCAAGACAATGGGTGAAAGCTCCCTGCACACAGAGGAACCTAGCTATGATGTGGGGCTCACTGTGAAGGGAACTGCAATAACCAGAGCCCCTGACTGCCTGGCGAAGGAGAACAGGGGCTGCCCTTGCTCTATCCTCTACCACAGGGGCTGCTCCAAACCCTGTTTACCTTCTGTGTTTCCCTCTTGGGTGCTGTGCCTTGGAGGAAGAGGTGCTGGACTCCACTCCTGCTGAAATTGTGCAGTTTGTCCAGCAAGGCCTTGCTGCCAGCATCAGTACTGGCTGGGGTGGCTTGCTGCATTGGTTGGTGTGGTGGGAAGCCACTTGCTTTTGGCAAAGACCTTTGGGCCTCTCCTGGTGTTATAGGAATGGTTGGGGCAGGGCTCAGCCTTGGGGGGAAGTTCCTTTCCTGGCAGGGCCGGGGAGGATCTTCCTCTGGGCCATCAGCGCTCAAGCTGCTGTTGCTATCCAGGCTGGGGGGAGATGGGGACAGGCAGTCTGAGTCTGACTGTGATTCTGAGCTGCTGTTAAAGCTGGTAGTGCTGTAATCCTGCCCTGAGCCCCAGCTGTGACGCATAGAGACAGGCGAAAGGAAGCTGCAGTTCCCCATGGTTTCTGCTGTGACCATGCTGGAACTGAGCTTCACAGAAGTGTTGTGCGATGCTGGTTCAGGGCTCGGCTCTGGCACTGCCTGCATTTCTTTTTCTGCAGTGGGGCAGAGTTGGGAATGGGACGTGTGTGCTGCTGGGGCAGCGTTTCTGGAGTTCTGAGCAGCATCAAGGGTGGAGTGGAGAAGGCTGCACATGTCCTCGGTCAGGTCGATGATGGCGAGGCTGCTTGACGGTGTCGGCTCTGTGTTTGCATCCTCACAGGTCAGGTCAATGATCTCCTGTGGGGACAGAGCAGCAGCGTCAATGTCCTGTCCTGCCAGGAGCCTCTGCTATGGTGGCACTGTAGTCCCAGTCCAAGAGAGAAAAGAGCACCAGCCTAGAAGAACAGGGGCAAAGACCCTTCTGCCTGTCCAAGGGGGCCTGTGGCCCTGAGCTCTGGGCTCAGCCTCCGGTGACAGCACAGCTGAGCCTGAGACCAACCCAGGCTCTTCTTCCCCACTCCCTTCAGGGCTCATGTCCTTGTGCCTTGACTCGGAGCAGACCTGGCTGCCTGCTCAGCTCCTTCCCACGACAGGGAAATGCCAGTCCTATTGGCATGTCCAGGGAGGGCAATGGAAGCACAGGGAGCTCTCCTGTACCCAGGCAGGAACAGCACGCGATCCAAACCCTGCCACCTTTTCTATGGCACATTCCGTGCTCTGGAGGACAGGTGTGGCAGGAAACAAAGCTGCCTTTACATCTGTGGCACCAGGAACAGGCAGGGGGAGGCAGCTGTGCCTGCACCAGCAACAGGCCACATACTGCACTTCCCAGACTTTTGGCAGGCTCAGGAGGGGTCAGAGCCTGTCTGCTCTTGGGGAAAAAAAATCCCCCTCAGCACCTCAAAGCAGGGAACACGTTTAGCAGAGAATTCAAATCCACTTCCCTCCCCCCGACTTAAACCTGCCGCCTTCCCCAAGGAGAGGGCAAAGCCCAGCGGGCTCCGGCACGCAAGAGGAGCTGTGCGGGAGGGAGGTTGCAGGGTTCCAGCAGGCTCAGGACCCGGGACAGCGGTGCGGGGCTGAGGACCGGCCGTTTTCCCGTCCGAGCCCGAGCCTCGTGCCCGGAACCGCCGCCGCACGACCCCCACCGGCCCCGCACCCGGCAGAGGAACGGCATGGGGGACAGCGGCGGCAACCGCCCCACCGCATCCCGCGGCCGGACCCCGCCGGGGCTGAGCCCTGCTGGCCTGGATCCTTCTCGGGTGCAGCGAGAGCGCCGCGGCACTCAGTGGCAGGCACCGGGCTCTAAGGGTGTATGGCCAAGGGGCTGGGACCCCTCGGGGAGCGCGCTCGTGGAACGGGGCTCTGCTGGCAGCACCTGCCCGCGGGGACCCGAGCCCGGCCAGGAGAGAGGGCGGGAGGTCCTGAGGACGCGGCGGGGACGGGACGGGACCGGGAACTCACGGCCACCCCTCCGCTGCCCCTCCGCTGCTGCTCCCCGCGCGCCTCCCGCTCCCGCCCGCCGCCGCAGCGCCGCCATCTTGCGCGGGACAGCGGCGCCGGTCCCGGCGGGAGTCACGGACTCACCGCGGGGGCGGGCAGCGAGGGGCGGCAGCGGCAGGGCTGAAGCGGCGGCGAGCGGGCCTCCTCTGAGTCCGAATCGCTGAGGAGCACCACATTGTTCTCCATCCCGGCGGCGGGCGCCGGCTCCGCTCGGGCGGCGGGGCCGCGGGGCGGCGGAAGTGGCGTCAGGCGCGGCGGGGCGGGGCGGGGCGGCGGTGCCGGCGGCGGCGGGCCCGCCATGGCGCTGTCGCCCTACGTGCAGGCCATGCAGGAGCTGTTCCGCGCCAACACGCGGAGCCGCGAGTTCCCGGCGCACGGCGCCAAGGTGCACTCGGTGGCCTGGAGCTGCTGCGGCCGCCGCCTCGCCTCCGGCTCCTTCGACAAGACCGCCAGCGTCTTCCTGCTGGAGAAGGACCGGCTGGTGAGACCCGCCGGCGGGCGGGGCGGTGCGCATCGGTACCGGGAGCCCTTGGGCTGCTTGGGCGGGGTCTGGAAGCGGGAGGATGCCCCGGTGGCCGGTACCGGGGCTGGGGGTGGGTACTCGGTGTGCACCGGAGCAGGGGCATCGCCAAGGACAGCGAGCCCGGAACGGAGCCGGTGCCCGGCGGCGTTCTCCGTCCTGCCGGCCGTGCGCGGGAGCGGGACCGGGGTGGCGGCTCCTGGGCTATCCCAGCACGCTGCATCCCCGCTGGATGCAGGAGTGGGAGCAGAGCCAGGCACACCCTCACGTCATCTGCCCTCTCCCTCCAGGTGAAGGAGAACAACTACCGGGGCCACGGGGACAGCGTGGATCAGCTCTGCTGGCACCCCAGCAACCCTGACCTGTTTGTCACAGCGTCAGGGGACAAAACCATCCGCATCTGGGATGTCCGCACCACCAAGTGCATCGCCACTGTCAACACCAAAGGTGAGTCCCTGCCTTCCCGGGGTGCCTGCCCAGCTGGGTCCCGGCAGGATCTCAGCTGTGTGGGAACCATCTGCAGTGCCACAGAGCTTTGAACCTTTCCTGTGGTTATTTCTGGTTGGGACATCTTTGCTAACTGCTTTATATTTGTGTTACACTCATCATGTGAGAGCTGATTTACTGTGGGGTCAGGACTGTTAGCACTGCTGAAATATCGTACTAGCTGTTAAAATGTCCTTTGTATTTGTCTCTGGAGTCAGTGGGCTGTGAGGCTGGAGACTGGGGAAAAGTATGTTTACAGAGAGTCATGCTGGAAATAAAAATTTGTGTGGATTCAGAAAAACTATTTGAATTCATGTGATGCTTTACCCAAATACCATCTCTGCTCTTGGAAATGTCCAGTTTGAGTTGTTGGGGCTGGGAATGGCATTGTAAGGTTGGGTAACAGCAACCTGCCATGTTCTCTTGTTTATTCAAAGGTATTTATTTTTGGCTTCTGCTTTTTCTGGATCCCAGAGACGCCTGGATTCAGAGGATCTTTGGTGTGACCTTGCGTGGTGGTTGCTGTGGTCCCATCTTGGCTGAAATGGGGTGTAGCATATCATTTTCAAGTTGTACTTCTCACAAGTTTGGTTTTGCTGGATAGCTCCTGTGCAGGGTTTGTGTGTTAGACTGAACAACTTGTAGTCTTTCCCATTTGGGAATGGTTTGGAGTGGAAGTGGGACATGCTGCCTTTCTGTCCTTTCAGGTGAGAACATCAACATCTGCTGGAGCCCTGATGGACAGACCATTGCTGTGGGGAACAAGGATGACGTGGTCACCTTCATTGATGCCAAGACACATCGCTCCAAAGCTGAGGAACAGTTCAAGTTTGAGGTGAACGAGATCTCCTGGAACAACGATAACAACATGTTCTTCCTCACCAATGGCAATGGCTGCATCAACATCCTCAGGCAGGTGCCCGTGGCTGCTGGTGGGCCGGGTGGCTGGGCTGGCTGCAGTAATTTGCAAGTGCCTTTGCTGCTTTTGGGAAACCTGAGCCCCACAACCCAGCAATCCCCTGCCCTCTGGTGGGAATGAGCTTGCCTGGAGCTGAGCTTGCCACAGTTGTGGGCTGGGCTCAGCTCCCCAAAATGGTCCCTGAGGCTTTGCCTCATTCACTGGACACTCAGTGTTTCCTCCCTCGGTAGGGTTTGCTTCCAGTCTTGGTGTGCCTCATGCCTGCCCTGCTCTAGGGAATCCCTGTGCTTCTCTCACTGCTCCCTGCCCTCTCCCTTCACCTCCACAGCTACCCAGAGCTGAAACCCATCCAGTCCATCAACGCCCATCCTTCCAACTGCATCTGCATCAAGTTCGATCCCATGGGGAAGTACTTTGCCACAGGCAGTGCTGACGCGTTGGTCAGCCTCTGGGATGTGGATGAGCTAGTGTGTGTGAGGTGCTTCTCCAGGTAGGTAGAGCTGTCCCAGAATTGTTTTCCCCCCTCTCTGGGGACTGTGGTGCCGGTGCCTCACCGTCTGCTCCCCTCGGTCGCTGCAGGCTCGACTGGCCCGTGCGGACGTTGAGCTTTAGCCACGATGGGAAGATGCTGGCCTCGGCATCAGAAGATCACTTCATTGACATTGCCGAGGTGGAGACAGGTAATGGTTTTATTTTGGGGGACTGCAAGGAGGGAATTGGATAGAGAAGTGCTGGTAGAGCTGGAAGGACACAAGAATCCATCTGCTAAGGAAGAGCTTTCCTGTGCAGAGCAGAACGCCATGAGGGGGAGCCTCTGCCTCAGTAGTCTGTGGCAGACATGCCTGTCATGTCTGTACCTTGTCACTGGGTGACTGAAAGGCGCTGGAGCAGCGTTTGTGCTGCCTCTCCCCTTCGCTGAGGGAAGCAGCCGGTGCTCGGCTCTGGGGAGGTGAGCAGCAGAGGGGGCTGGAGGCTCTCCAGGCTGACGTGGCTCCTTTTCCATTTAGGAGAGAAGCTCTGGGAGGTGCAGTGTGAGTCCCCCACCTTCACAGTGGCCTGGCACCCGAAGAGGCCACTGCTGGCCTTTGCCTGTGACGACAAAGATGGCAAATACGACAGCAGCCGGGAGGCCGGCACTGTCAAGCTTTTTGGGCTCCCCAACGACTCCTGATGAAGCTGCTGCACCCAGGGAGGCAACACCTGCCTGCCCTCGAGGGTGGGAGCTTAGGTAGCAGAGGTGGGCAAGGAGCTGGCTCATCTCCTTGCCAGCCTGGCAGCACTGTGACCTCGGGTTCAGCTCGGTGTATCCTGTTCTTGGGAGCTTTTATAAACAGGCAGCTGTGTGCTGGGGAGAATGGGGGGATTCTGGCAGGATCCCCCTCTGCCACCTCCTCTCTGGGGCGTGGGGGGCTTGTTCCAAAGGCAAGTGGCCAAAGAAAATGAGTCACTGAAGGTGGCTGCTGAGGAGCCTCCCATGGGAGGTACTCTGCTTTGACCAGGCTCCCCAGCAGTGACAAGATACGTGACTGTCCCCTTGTCCCCAAAAGCCTGGTGGCAAGGGCAGCTCTGGGAGCACAACCTGCCTCTTCCCCTCCCAGACATCCCATGTCCCTTTCCTGCGCTGGGGCAATGAGGGGAGGGTGGGGGGTTTGAACCTGTAGATGTTTTACGAAATATTTGTGGTGTCTTTTTCTAATTTTGATAAATCCTCTTCCTTAACGAAGGTGCCTGTGGCTATTTGAAGGGATAGCAGGGGGGTGGTGCGCTGCTCTCCCTTGCCCTGCCTCCTTCCCTCGGCCGTGGCGAGGCCGGGCAGAGGCGTCTGTCGGGGATTGTCCCTCTTGTCGCCGCTCCGTGTCCCCGTCCTGCGCTGTCACCACGCCAGGGGGCACTGCGAACCCGCGGTGGGGACAGGGGACAGCGGGGACACGGTTCAGACGTGCAGGACGCTGCGGGTTCCACGGCCACCGGCCCCGGGCAGAGCCCTTCCCTGCCCTGTCCCCGCTGCCCAGGGGGGGCTGTGGGGATTTCTCCCTGCCTGCACTGTGCCAGGTCACAGGGCACAGCCTGCCTGTGATGGAGACCTTGCCTGTGAGATCTCTGCTGTTCTCTACCCTCATATTTTCTTCTGACAGAAGCTTTTCTGGGTGATTGCTCTGCTGATGCTGCCTGGGTAACAGCTGAGCTCTTTGCTGGTAAATGATGGCACATCAGGCAGAGCTGAGGCTGGCACCAAGCTGAAGCCTCCCGAGCCTGGGCACTGCCAGGGCCTTTGCCTCAGTGTGGGGCATGAGGTGCACCATGCCCACAGCCTCACGCTCCTCTCTTGGAGTGGTGGAATGCTGTGACCCATCAGAAACAGCCCTTGGACCCTTGGGTATCCCCAGTCATTCAGTGGGAGAAGTCCTGGAGTCAAGGGGAATGGAGAGAAACCCTCATGTCTGTGTCCCTCATGTCTGTGGGACATCCCTTTTGTCTTGTCCCCAACCCCAGAGAGGACAGATGCCTGCGGAGTGGGAAGGCAGCAGGAATGAGCAGGACTCTGGGAGCCACATGTGGCTGCTTCCTGCACCTGTAGAGACCTGGCTGGGGGCCGTGTGTGATGAGCTGCCAGATTTCAGCCCTGAGGTTGGTGGGGTGAGGGAGCTGCCATGGGGGCCCAGGAAAGCAAGGGATGAGAAGAGGCCGGAGCAATGTACAAATCCCTTTATTTTATTAGTTCGTCAAAGACTAGTTCGAGCAGGATGGTCACAGCATGTCTGTGGGGCCCCGAGCTGCCCGCCACTCCCTGGAGGGCCCTGGCGAGCGGCTGGGGCCGTGGCTGAGGAAGCACAGGGAGGGGGAGCACGGTGTGGCAAGAGACGGGCCGGGATGAGGGTGTGCCCCTGCCTCCCCCCTTGGGGTGCAAGCAGCGGCTCCTGGGCCATCCCGGGGCGCTTGCCCGGGGATCCCTTCCCAGGCCGGGGGACCCATGTGTCCAGCGTCAGGTGAGGGCAGCCGGGCACTCCCAGCCCGGGACTGGCCCGGCAGCCCTCGGCCCCGCGCTGGCTTTATTGCAGGGGCAGCGTGGGGGTCCCACAGCACGGCGAGGGGCGCCGCGGGTGACCCCGGGGACAGTGGGGACGCGGGGGTGGGAGTCTGAGCAGCGGACACGAGGACGCATGGAGCGACGGGCACACCCTGGCACAGAGACACCAATGCGAGAACGGGGGCCAGCGGGGCCGAGACACGGACGAGCGAGCGGCGGGGACGGGGGAGCGGGGCAGGGGGGCCCTGCCCCGCGCGTGCCTTTGTACACGGTCGGCGGAGCGCGGCGCCCGCTCCTCCCGGTGCTGAAGTATTGCAGTCTAACTGATATGGCTTTAACTATGGGGCCAGAGATGCGGGGAGGGGGTCCCCTCCAACCCCCCGATGCACGGGCACACCGGGCAGCCCCGGGGGACCCCCGTGCCCGACGATCGGGGATGGGGGAGCTGCGGGCAGGGCGCCTGGCTTTGTGCTTTGGGCTTGGCCCAGGGCGGGAGGGGGCAGGGGGATGGCAGTGTTGGGGACGGGGGCAGGCGAGCAGAGGCCTGCTGGGGTCCCCTGGGAGAACAGAAGGGGCACGAGGAGCCACCCCGGGGGGACCTGTAGGGCCTAGCCTGCCGCGAGGTTACATCAGTGCATTTGGTCCCGGTTCGCCCTGTCCGGCCAGGGCTGCTCCCCTTTGGCGTGGTGGGGGGGCCCTGCCTGGACGGGACGGGGCGGGCTTTTGGTCTGGTTGGGGGACAGGGCAGGAGGGGATGGGAGGGGGCGTGGGGACCCCCTCTCCGGGGCCAAGGGAACTGATGGAGGAGTTGTAGGAGAGAGGGCGCCCGTGCCCCAGCACCCTATGGCAGGGTTGACGGTGCTGTTACTTCTTGAACATATCCTGCAGTGGGCCGGGCAGGTACTTGAGGACGGTGTCCAGGATGCTCTCCTCCTCCTCCTCTTCCTCGTCCCCACAGCCTGCCGGGATCGCCTTCTTGGGGCGCGTCAGGCTGCCCTCACACGGCTGCTCCAGAGCAGCTTTCTCCTCTGCTTCCTTCTCCTCCTTCTTCTTCAGCCCGTACTGAGAGGACACAGGCTCTCAGCAGGGCAGGCAGCGGGCACTGCCTGCGCTGTGCCCCGTGCCCATCACCACTGACACGGGCCACCCTCCTCCCGGCCGAGCCGGCTCCCTGTCCCAGCCCCACCCTGGCTGCCACAGGCAGGGCCGGGCACAGGGGAGGTGTGTGCCCACCTTGTCACGGATCTGCTGCCGGACTTTCTCCCGCTCCGCTTCCATGCGGGCGTGCTTGGCTTTCCGCTCCTCCTCCTGCTGGCGCAGGGCCTCCTGCCTCTCCTCCTCCTTCTTCTGCGCGTCGGGGTCCTTCTCCTCCTCGCCCCCCAGCATCTTCCCCATGTCCTTGGTGGCCCCTGCGCATAACGTTGGTTGGTTCCCAAGGCTGCTGCAGCCTGGTGCTGCTGCCAAAGCCCCTGCAGCAGCAGGGAGGGCAAGGAGGCCCCTGGCAAGGAGGACATGGGACATCCCCAGGGCCACCTGTGTGGAAGCGGGCTGCAGGCAGGCTCGGGAGGCTGTGGGGATGGGGAGTGCCACAGGCTGGCTGTTCTGCCCTAGTTCAGTGTCAGCTGGGGGAGATGCCAGCAGCTCCTTCTCCAGCACCCAGGGGATCTGCAGGGGAATCCCACTTCGTGGCAGAAGAGGCAGGATTCCCCAGCCAGCCGCTGGCGGCACTGGAAATGGGAAACTTGGAGGGCTCCCGCAGCAGCTCCCCACTGCCAGTGGCTCTCTGTGTGACTGTCCCCTTGCCATGTCCCTCCCACTGCGCTCCTGGGGTGCTGGGCCAGCATTGCTCTGGGAGAGGGGACCCTTGAGGGGGGAACAGCTCCCACTCACCGCCCAGCGCTTGCTTCATGACGAAGTCCATGGTGCCGGTGTGTGCGTGTGGCTAGGCCAGTGCCCAGCGCTCATCCACCGCTGTCCGGGCTTGCTGACCTGGGCCACCTGTGCGGGCACAGAAGGACAGGTTGGGGATGCCACGCTAAGGTTCCCTGCTGCCCAGGCTGAGGGATGGAATGATCTCTGGGGCTGTGCTTTGCACCCTCTGCATCCTCAGCACAAACACTTTCCAGGATGGTCAGAGGGAGGTTCTGGGGTCTGCAGGCAGAGAGTGACTGTGCCTGCTCCCCTCAGTCCCCTCCCTACATCCCTTCTGGCCTTCAGGACCTGGGAGGCACCAAGGAAGGGATGTTCCACCTCAGCACTGCCCTTGGTGTGGCACCAGGAGCCCAGGTGTGCTGCTTGGGGGCTGGTGGGATGAGGACCCACCATGCCACCACACACTGTGTGTCCCTGCTTTGAGGGAGGGGTGACAGACCTTGTCTGGGGTGCCAGCGTGGCACGGCCGGACCCGGGGCGCTGTGTGTGTGCGTGTGTGTCCACGGCAGCGCGAGTGCTCTACGGAGGGATGGGGAAGAGGCTGTTGGTGGTTGCGGCAGTGCTCGGGGGTGCAGGGGTTGCAGGGAGCAGCCTGTGACTGCGTGTGTGATCCACACGGGTGCTGCGGGTGGGTGACACCGTGCAGGGCGCTGCCTGTGCAGGACGGGGTGAGCTCCGTGTGCAGGCTGTGTTTGCTCAAGAGGTGTGTCTGTGGGTGCCTGCAGGCTGTGTTTGCATGCGGGGTGTGTGCACACACGCGTGTGGGTAAGTTTGTGGGGCTGCAGATTGCGTGATGTGCGGGTTTGCAGCCTGTGTGCAAGCTTTGAGCGTTTTGGGGTCTGCGGGCTCTGCGGATGCGTGTGCACGCAGGGTTGTGGGCTGTGTCTGTGTGCTGGGTGTTTGTGCTGCGGGTGTGCGCGTGTTTGCACACTCGGGGGGTGCTGCAGGATGTGTTGGTGTGAGTGTGGGGGGTTGTGTGTGCAGGTCCGTGGGTTTGCAGGCTGCACAGGGGGCTGTGCACGCAAATTTGCAGACTGTGTCGCGTGTGTGTACGTGTGGGGGTGTTGCAGGCTGCTTGTGTGCTCCGTGTGCGTGTGCATGCGGGGGATCACAGGCGGAGGGTGTGTGTGGGGGGTGCCCGTGCCCCCCACGTGCCCCGTGTGAGTGGGGTGCTGCAGGCTGTGCTCAGAGCCTGGGGGTGCAGTTTGCAGCGTGTGTGTGTGTGTGTACGTGCCCGGTGGGTGCCGCAGCCCAGCGGGTACCCCCACCCCGGCTCCCCGGAGCCCCACTGGGGCTGGGGGCGCTGCACGAGCTGTCACCCCGGGAAGTTTGCTGCTGCCAGCCCCGGGGCACCCCGCGACAATGTGGGGATCTCCTCCGGGCAGTACAGTGCTGAGCCCTGGGACTGCAGCGGGGGTTTGGGGGGCACCGGGGACGGGGAAACACCGGAGAGCACAGGGACACCGGGGCCGTAGGCAAGGTGCAAGGATCACGGGGAGCACCGGAGCACTGGGGTCACGTTGTGGGGGGGCTCGTAGCGATAGCGGGGTACTTGGGGGACATCGGGAGGTGCACGGGCGGCGCAGGGGGAACACCGCAAACGGGGGCAACACCGGCAGGCACCGGGATACCGGGGCCACAGGGGCTGCAGAGACGCAGGAGACACGGGGGGGCGCCGGGAAGGCGGGGGACAGCGGGGACACGGGACGTAGCGGACACCCAGCATGCGGGGCACACCGGGGCCGCAGCGGGGTGCAGGATCCGGGGGGCAGAGCCGCCGTGGAAGGGGAGGGGGGATGGGGCGCAGGCACAAGGACGACGAGGGGGGAACCCGGCTCGGGGGACACGCACCAGGGCCGCAGGGGACAGCGGGGAGGAGGGGGGACGCGGGGACACCGGGAAGGCGGGGACCGCGCGGGGGGCTCGGGTCGCGCAGGGGACGCGGTGCCGCGGGGACCCCTCTCCCCCCGCCCCATCCCGGGGTCTGCGGCGCGGGGCCCCGCCCGCCGCCCGGGGCCGCCCGGTGCCGCAGCGGCGGCGCTGTCCCTTCAGCACCGGCACTCACCGGCTCCGCCGCCGCTCGCCGCTGCCGCCGCTCCGCCCCGCCCCGCCCCGCCGCGGCCCGGCCCCCTCCCGCCCCCGGCGGCACGCGTGGGCCCGCCCGGAGCGACACCCCCCGCACCGCGCGGACCGGCCCCCGCGGGGGCGGCGGGATGCGGGACCCCTCACTCCCGGGAAACGTCCCGGGGAGCCCCGCACCGCTCCTCGGGGTGCGGACGGGGCCCCCTCGGACACCCCCCCGCGCTCCCGCAGCGGAGGGACAGGGCGAGCGGCTCCTGCGCGGGGTTAATGATTCACCGCCGCGGCAATTAGCGGGCGGAACGAGGCAAGAATCGGCCGGCGGTGCCCCCAGTCCCGCACCCCCCCGGCTCCCTCACTCACCCCCCCGACCCACAGCTCCCCGGCCCTCCTCTGCAGCCATGCGGGGCGGCTGCGGGAGTTTAATTAAAGTCCCTGATAAATCATGTCACCCTCCCTCCCTCTGCCGCCAAGAGCTGCCGCTCGGGGGCCCTAGCTGGGGATTCTTGGTGCTGTTCCCCCCGCGGAGCTCCCAGAGAGGGGATGCCAGAGGGGGTCTACGGTGCCATCGAGGATATGATGCCCACGGAGCTCAGAACCCCGTTCAGCGAAGGGTTCCTGGGCAGGAAATGGGGTGCACCACCCTGCCTGCCCCCCCTGTGCCTGCCCGAAGGGAGATGGGCTCCTGCAGCCCCTGCCGTGTTCCTCCCCTGCAGTGCGGGACAGGACTCCCCCGGGTCTCCCACCCTTGTCCCCATGCATGGGGACGGTGTGTGCTCCTCAGGCTGGCAGCCGATGCCTCCGAATTAATCCAGCTCTGGGATCTTAGAGACAAGATGAGCCCTGTGCCAATCCCATTAGCGGTACTTGGAGCCGGGCTTTGGGATAGCTGGTGCTTAATAGTGAGGCTCTGGACTAGCAGCCTGCGGGGGCTCAGATGGGTGCTGGGGAGGGTTTGGGTGCGGGATCCTCTCAGGGATGTCCCCCCCTAAACGTGGGAGGCTGTCGGGAGCTGGGACCGGCTGCAGCTGCCCCCACAAGCCCCATGGGGTGGGCTGTGGAGATGCTGCCAGTGCTGCTGGGGCTGCTGTGGGAAGGCTGGGGGTGATGCTGGATGTAGGGCAGGAATGGGGGGACATCTCGCAGCCAGGGAGGCCAAAACTGACTCGCAAGTGCCACCTCCACAGAGATGCACTGACAGATCTGCGTGTGCGCACCCGCTGCCAGCTCCAGCCTCAACGCACGGCCGCTCCCCCGGACAACTCTCAGCACGGGGACAGCACATCAGGGACTTGTCCCTCTTGTTCACCCGCTCTCCCTGCTCCCAAAAACACCCCCTGGCACAATCCATCTCCACCAGCCCCGAG